GACCACCCCCAGACCCGCCCCAAGAACGACACCCCAAGAACAGAACGACCGCCCCAAGAACGACCACCCCCTAGAACGACCGCCCCCAGAACGACGCACCCCAAGAAACGACCACCCCCAAAAACACCCGCCCCAAGAACCGACCACCCCCTAGAACGACCGCCCCCAAGAACGACCACCCCCTAGAACGACCGCCCCCAAGAACGGACCACCCCAGAACGACCACCCCCAAGAACGACCCACCCCCTAGAACGACACCGCCCAGGAAGAACGACCACCCCCAGAACGACCGCCCGCCACTAGGGTCGAGGGGCGCAGGCAGTCGGCAAAACGAGTCGGCGAGGGAGTGTCGGTTCCGATGAGAAACTCGCTAACAAATGCCATTTTAAAGACGTGGTTTGCGGAACGAGGGGAGGGGAGGGGGAGAGGTAGGGAGAGGGAGAGGGAGATGGGGAGGGAGAGGGAAGGAGAGGGAGGGGAGGGGACGGGTGGGAGGGAGAGGGAGAGGGAGAGGGAGGGAGATGGGGTGGGAGGGAGAGGGTGGATAGGAGGGAGTGAGAGGGTGGGAGAGGGAGAGGGAGAGGGAGGGAGTGAGAGGGAGAGGGTGGATAGGAGGGAGGGGAGAGAGAGTAGATAGAGGAGGGAGAGAAGGAGGGAGGCAGGCAGACAGGGAGGCATGACAGAGGGATGGAGGAAGAAAGGAGAGGGAAGGAGGGAGGAGGGAGGGAGGAGGGGTAGGAGGCAATCCCAGGTACGCATTATGTATTCGATTTATGTATTTACTTATTCTCTATTTAGTTATTCCTATTTATTATTTCTCGCTTTGTTCTGGGAAGGTCCTGGAGGGGATGGAGTGAGAGGGAGAAGTGAGGGTGAGGGTGAGTAAGGGTGGTGGGTGTGGGTGTGGGTGTGGTGTTAAGTGAGAGAGTGAGAGAGAGAGAGAGAGAGGAGAGAGAGAGAGGAGAGAGAGAGAGAGGAGAGAGAGAAGGAGAGAGACAGACAGACAGACAGAGAGAAAGAGAGAGAGAGGAGAGAGAGAGAGAGAGAGAGAGAGAGAGAAAGAGAGAGAGAGAGAGAGAGAAGCCAGAGAGAGAGAGTAAGTTTAAGAGAGAGAGAGAGAGTAGTAAGAGACAGAGAGAGAGGAGAGAGAAGAGGAGAGTAAGTAGAGAGAAGAGATGATAGTAAGAGAGAGAGAGGTAAGAGAGAGGAGTGAGAGAGAGGATGGATGAGAGAGAGATTAGATGATTGACTTTTATGATGAGAGAGATTGAAACAGGACGACAGACATGAATTAGATGATGATATGGATGAGTGATATTGAGAGATGAGAGTTTTTGATTTGAGAGAGAGAGGATGAGCCATATATATATATATTAGTAAGAGAGAGACGAGAGAGAGTAATGAGACAGAAGAAGAGAGAGTATTGCGTATATAGTAAGTAAGAGAGGAGAGTGAGAGTAAGAGGACGAGAGATAAGAGAGAGAAAGTAAGAGAGAAGAGAGAGAGAGGATTTTTATGAGAGAATGAGATTTGATATTTTTGATGAGAGAGAGTAGAGAGAGAGAAGAAGATATATATATCGGTCATGTTTTAGGCCCGAGAGAAGAGGACGAGAGAAATTCGGACAGATGAGAAATGAGAGAGTAGAGAGAGAAATGGAGAGATAGAAGAGAAGAAATGCGAGACGAGACATGAGAGAGAGAGGAGAGAGAGAGAGAGAATGGAGAGAGTTCGAGAGAGAGAAGACGAACAGAGACGAGAGAGAGCGCACGAGAGAATGGAGAGAGTGAGAAATGGAGAGAGTGATGAGAAATGGCAGAGAGTGAGAGAAATGGAAAGAGAGTGAGAGAAATGGAGAGAGTGAGAGAAATGGAGAGATGAGAGAAGATGGAGAGAGAGAGAGAAATGGAGAGATGGGGAGACATGGAGAGAGAAGAGAGAGAGAAATGGAGAGAAGAGAGAGACAAGAAATGGAGAGAGAGAGAGAGAGAAAGGAGAGGAGAGAGAGAGAGAAATGGAAGAAGAGAAGAGAGAGAAATGGGAGAGAGATAGAGAGAAAATGGAGCAGCACGAGAGCAAGTGCGAGAGAGAGAAATGGAGAGAGAGAGACGAGAGAGATAATGGAGAGAGAGAGAGAAATGGATTAGAGAGAGAGAGAGAGAGAGAGACGCCAGAAGAGACGGAGAGAGAGAGACGAGCCCTGAGAGGAGAGAGAGAGAGTAGAGAACGTAGTGAGAAAATGGAGAGGATAGAGGATGTGGAATGATATGCACGTAAACAGTATATCGCCGGCTGTATGTAGCATTAATGGGAGAATGAGGACTATTATGTGCTTGAGAATAAAAGCGCCAGACTATAGACACAAAAGCACGGAAGTGTCGAATCCTGAGAGGAGAAAGAGAGATATATTTAGAGATGAAAGACGCACATTCTGAATCGAAGACTTTGATAAATTAATCCTCACAGAGAACGAAGTCAATACTGCCGAGAGAGGTATATATATCGCAGGCTCTTCCGAGAAATGGAGAGAGAGCAGACCGCCTATAGAATGTTACCTAACCGTGTATGAGAGAGGAGAGAGATCACACAGTGACCAAAGAAATGAGAAAGCGCGAAAGACACTGACAACGAGAAGAGAAGAAGAGAAAGAGAGAGAAGAGAAATGGTAGAGAGAAGAGAGAAATGGAGAGAGAGAGAGAATGGAAGAGCAGTGAGATGCAGTATGTAGAAGATGACTGGTCTATGAAAGGAGAGACGACCGAAGTTAACGGCGACATCGTGCAGATACGTAAGATTATCTCCCACCATATATAAACTTCCCCCCACCCCAACTGGAGCTGCCACTCAAATGATGATGTTGCTGCCGCCACTTGGTAGAGGACAGGGAGGGTGGGGGGGGAAGGGGCAGAGGGGTGTGGTGTTGCAGATGTCGCTATAAGAGGATCTGGGATGAAAATTGTTTTTTTTTTTTTTTTTTTTGTCCATTTGAACATCTGTTGAATGCTTGTAATTGTTTTTGTTGTAACAGTGCAGCGTTGAGCTTGAATGAATTAGAGTGATTTTTTATATATTTTTTATATATATTTTCTTCTATATCTTTTATTTATTCATTTTATTTATTTATTATGTTTGAATATATCAGAATTATGTGTAATTATATATGTCTCTATTCTCTCGTGATGTCTATCTCTCTCTCTGTCTATCTATCTATTAACCTGTTCTATCTATCTCGTCCCTTTCCCCTCTCACGCTCTCCCTCTCCTTTTCCTCATCCTCTTCCTCTCTGTCTCCCTTTTCCTCTTCCTCTCCCTCTCCCTCCCTTTTCTCTCCTTCCTTCCCCTCCCATTCACATCTCTGTCCCTCTCTCCTCCTTCATTCCGTCCTCCCTCCTGCCCCTTTCTTCTATCTCCTTTTGCAGTTCTTCTTCCCTTCCTCTTCTCTTTGTGTGGTGTGGCGCGGCGCGCGCGTGTGGTGGTGATTGTGTGTGTGGTGTGTGTTGTGTGTGTAGTGTGTGTAGTGTGTGTGTTGTGTGTATGTGTGTGTATGTGCGTGTGCCTGTGTGTGTATGTGTGTGTGTGTGCGTGTGTGTGTGTGTGTTTATCTCTCTCGCAGGCATCACGTAGTGCCCCGCGCACGAAAAAGGTCTCGCTAACTTCCAAACAAATGCAATTAGCTTAATTCATGATATTCGTAACAAGTTAAGCCAGTTAGTTAAAATTTCCATTAAAAAAAAAAAAAAAAAAATAGAATTTCCACTTTTTCAATGAAAGCTCCATTTTCCAGCGTAACTTTATTTTCGTGTTCTTATACGAGTGATTTATATCCATGAATCGTGGTTTGGATGAAAGGACAATCTTTTTTTTTCTTCTTCTTCTTCCTTTCTTTGTTGATAATTATTGGCATAAGTCCAGCGTGTAGAATAACTTGGCATAAGGTTTTTCTTCTCTAACTCTCTCTCTCTCTCTCTTCTCTTTCTTTCTTTCTTCTCTCTCTCTCTCTCCTCTCTTCTCTCTCTCTCTCTCTCTCTCTCTCTCTCTCTCTCTCTCTCTCTCTCTCTCTCTCTCTCTTTCCTCTCTCTCTCTTCTCTCTCTTCTCTCTCTCTCTCTTCTCTCTCTCTCTCTTCTTCTCTCTCTCTCTCTCTCTCTCTCTCTCTCTTTCGTTTCTTTATCTATCTATTCTATCTATATCTACCTATATCTATCTATATATATTAACATATATTTGTATATATATTACTATATATATATATATATATATATATATATATATTATATATATATATATGCATGTGTGTATGTTTATTGGTGTATGCACACACAACTGACTTATAACTGAATTGTCAAACTCCCCCCTCCCCCCCCGTCACGCGCGGAATGCGGCCGAGTCCCAACGCCAGGACATAAAATACGGCCTCCCTCCCGCCGTAACTCCAGTCGCGGATCATAGATTGGCGGCACACGAGGTTATCGCTCTCGCTGTTACTCAAGCCTTCAGGAATAAATAAAAAAAAGAGAGAAAGAAAGAGAGGAAGAGGAAATACGCAGGATCTTGGATAGCTAGATAAGAAGTATAGATAAATAATATAGCGGTATAAGGTATTAATTATCCAGATCCTACAGTAATAAACAATAATGTCAAATGAGTCAGTATCACTTGTTATTATTATAATAATCCTTGTACACCTCACTATATCGGTGGGAAAATACGCACACCGGCCACCAGCGTGTGACACATTGTACCTAAACCACACTCCAATTATGAGGTCATACAATTACACCACTACTAACGTGACTATGACTATCTTATATATATATAAATATATATCACAGGTCATACATTGATCAGTACTTATATAACGGACACATACTCATATTATATAATAATACGTATATATAATGCTCAGGTATATAAATATATAATATGGATCATTATACAATGAATACAACACTCACTAATGACACGTCACTATATTGAACACAGATTTAATCTCGAGCTGCCTA